CAGAGGAATCTTTCGGTAGCAGTTCTGACAAATTCTGTTGGACGTTTTTCAAAGAGACACTGTGAACATACTAATGAAAGTTGACAGTGTGACCTTTTCATATGGGACAGAGGGAGCTTTTGCTGATGGCACTTGACACTTTTTTCAAACACGCTAATATCACAGACCCTTTAAAAGCATATTCTCAGAGATGTGGATCAGCTTATTAGGAGCTTCACTGTGCGCTGCCGTGTCTCACCTATAGACAAGACTGACACTATGTTATGCATTTGCTCAGGTTTATGTAACTGGCCCGTGAGAACAGTTGCGGCTGTTCTCTGCATTTCATGCAGGAGAATTGTGATTGGCACTGTAAAATTATTCCTTTGCACACATGCTGAAGACTGTGCTTGTATTTTGCGTGTGTCTGCTGTCAGTCCCACAGGTTGATGGGTGACTGTCTCCTTGAAAAGCACTAGTTCCCTCTGCAGTCACGTGTCTTTCAAGTGAGGAAATCCATACAGTTTTCTTGTGGCATTAGTTGCAGTAAGTCAAAACTGGCACCAAACTGTGCTAATTCTATAAATGTAACTAGCTTTTGTTACTCTGTAGGAATAGAGGTTCCTGGATCTGAAAATGTTGTTAACACATTAAAACCACTACTTATAAAAATCCTTAAAGTTATCCTGAAAATGCCAGAGTATAAGATAGGAGAGGAAAGAAAGCTACAGCTCTTTCTTCATTTCCAGGTCTGTCGGTGGTTGTGAGCTGGTTCTGGCTGTTGACATGTTTTTAGTATAGCTGTTGGAGCCAGAATATATTACCTTTACAGTGTGATTTTTAAATACTATTCAGTGGCTGCTTCCTTAGTATTCCTGTAATATTCCATGCAGGATTTCAAGCTTGTTTAAAGAACCTGGAAGCAGGTTTGGGAAATGTTTGTAAGGAGGTGGTGGTGGTTGCTATCACAATTTTTTTCACCCATGGAAGTGTCTGAAGACTAAATCAGTCTCCTGGAGCATATATATTGTGTTGAAGAGGCATGCAGTGGTATTCCCCTCCTGTGGGAATATGTGAGGTTTCCACAGATTTTGGTGATTTCATTTTGGAATGCAAATAGGACCTTTAGTTCCCACCATCACCCCTTCCAGGACAGAAGTGAGTAAATCTGTGCCTGAAACTGGTCAGCGGCGGATACAGGTGTGTTTCAGCCAAGGGGCTGACTTGTGTCCTGCAGGCGTGAGAGCAAGAAAGTCTGTTGATCCATTGTCACACAAAATGGGTGAAATAAATATGTCATGTCCAGAACAAATGGATTACTCTTGCTGCCAGACAGCAATGGTATTTATTGTCAGCCTATGTGCAGATTTATAAAGTAGAGCATAACTAGGGCCTAATAGTGGCATTGAGAACATCTGGAAGCATCTGGAACATATATGGCCTCCTGTATTGCTCACAACTTCTGCACATTTGGCCCTTTAATGGTCTTGCACAGTTTCTGTACTGGAGCAGTGTTTAGTAGCTGCCAAAAATCAAGTTCTGATAGAGCAGCTGTGGTTGGCAGGAGGATCAGCAGGACTCCAGCCGAGCTTGGGACCCGATGGTTGTGTCGGTTTTGGCACCTAGCCAGTTGCCCTCTGCACTGTCTCAGAGTTTCTCCTTTTTACAGTTACACAATTTGTGTCCTGATTCTTCTTTGGTATATACTTTTTTTTCAAGTTCCCATGCTATTATCTTCTTTTAGGTCTTATACCTTCTCTTTCAGTGCAGTCTTAAAACCAGGAAGCCAACAGCTGTATGATCCTGTGAATCAGAGAACAGGCAATTGGAAGTAGTGTGACTTTGAGTTACATCAGTATTTAAAGTAGGTGTGTCTGGGGAGGTGCCTGATTTCCTACTTCTCCTTTCCCTCACCCGCCATGCACATTCACCTACAGGTGATCCAACAAATACAAGTTCCAACAAATAACTATCTAAGGCTTCCAGAAAGTAGTCGAGGTGCAGATTCCTTCATTTCTCTCCATCCCTGTTATGGAGCTGGGGGCCTCCAGAAGATGCTGATGATCATGTAAATGCTGCTGGTGTCCTCAGGTGATGCGGGTCCATAACTGCCAGTATCTGTTTCTCCTTCCTCCTTCAGGCATGGTGTTGGATACAGCAGGCAGCCAAAATACTGCAGGGGAATTGTAGGCAAGGGTTCATCCTGATCCCAAGGGACTTTAATCTTGCCTTCAGATAGCTATATGCTCAAGCCCATAGCCATGAGCCCACAGCTGAGGTGATGACGCAGTAGCTTCTGGGGAATGGATGAAGTGTGTTTCCCAAACCCCAAAGTAAAAACAGAAATGGGGGGGATCCAAGTGACGGAGTTAGTGGTTAAGCAGACCGCGGTGCCATCCTGCAGCAGTGCCAATCCCCCTTGATGACAAGAGACAGCACAAGCTGTCTTCTTTGCATGAGCTCGCTGAGGCTAGATATTGGGAACACGCGGCTGCCTTGCAGCTTCCCAAGCTGGCTGGCATTGCTGTTGGTACAATATGCCTGATGCTCTAAGCAACTTTCAGTGTGGCAGAATAAATCCATACCTGCATCCCTGTGGTGCTGACGTGTCCGTGGGCCTGCGGGCCAGGCAGTGTAAAAAGGAAATCGCAAGCAGCAGGCGCTTGCCCCGGCCTCTCGCGAATGTGTTTCCTGGAGGTGGCACGTGCGTGAGGCTTTACAAGTGGCTCTTGTGTCCCCAGCCCTGAGCCTCCTGGCAGCAGAGTAACGTGAGGGACATGTGTTCCCAGCCTCTGAAGGACTGACTCAGCCTCTTCTTTTGAGACTCAGACAGGCTGTTTCAATGTCACCTTCCCCATCCTGAAGTTCTGCCTCCGCTCGTGATCCTTCCACACTTCTGCCATGACACTTCGCTGCCAGTCTGTGATCAGTCCCAGGTGGTGCATGGGAAGAGTGACATGGTTAAAATACTTCATTTTATTTGTGTAACTTTCAGGAATTTCTTTTGTGAGTGTTTGGGGGTTTTTTGCTAGGTAAGTCATTGAAGCGTGCTGTCCATTGTGGGATTACCCCATGATAGCTTCCTGTTCTTACTACCATGATTTCACTTCTAGCCACAGCTCAGTTTTAGGCAGCCACTGCCATTCTGACTACCCTGTTGGCCAGCTGGTATCTGTTGGTCACCTCAAACTTTTCTTCTATAGAGATGTCACATTTTAAAAACACACGATGACACGTGCGGATTTTAACGTGCGTAAGCAGTGTTTGAAAGGTGACAGTGCACCATGCTGCCACTATTTTTTTTCATGCACTGCACCATACGGTCCCTGTGCTTTAAGCACAGGGCTGCGTGCTGAAAGCTGCAGGAACATAGAGCTGCGCTGTGATGCAGAAGCACAGGACTCAGCTGGTTAGCTGCCTCCAGCAAAGCAGAGGTTTCTGCTGAGACCTACCAGTCTGTGCTGGGGACAGTCTTGGCTCACCTGCCGTCAGGATGTGTCACCTTGCAGCTCTGGGTCCATGGAGTTTAATCCTACCTTACTTTCCTCCCCTTCATTTCAAATTGAATTACTTGGAGTCAGATACAGCTTTCCAGTTTCGCTGCAGAGTTTCAGAAAAACGCTGAGTGAAGTATCACAGCTAACACACACAACCTTGAGCAGTGAAAGCCCTTACTCTGCAGACCCGCTTTATGTAGCGTTGGGTAAAGGATTGTTCCAAATGCCGTTGCCTGCCAATATGTTGTTAGTGCTGCCAGTCACGGGACTGAACAAGAGGGGGTGGCAACAAGCAGTCAGCAAAGAAGGAACCCGCAAGCGAGGAATAACTTGAATTTCTGGTGCATGCAAACAAGCAAAAAGGCCATTTTCTCACCCACTCCCTTTCGTTTGCCTGTCTTCTTTTTGTTTTGTTTTTCTTCATGCCATGCACAAGCTTTCTAATTGGAGGCCACTTCTAGAAACTGCACTGGTTTTGAAACAGTTGTTTTACTCTGGCTAAAACATTTTTCAGATCACTTACTGAAGTATTAAGGGCAGAATAATGAGTCCTTAGCTTCCTGTGTACTAGCAGATGATTTTTTCAACGTAATTTAATTTTGCCTGAAGTATACTCTTTAGAACAATGGATACCTGATCATATATTCACTTCTCGCTAACCCTGGAGACAAGTTTCATGCTGACCATTCAAATGAGTATTATCTTGCAAGTACTAACAAGGCTGACTGGGAATAACTAAGTTATGCGTAGGCGTGAGAACCATAATGATTCTGATAAATTCCCACGTTACAAACCAGCCTGCTTGATTTGATGCAGTACTTACTTTAATGGGAGCAAGGTGATCTTAGGGAGATTTTTTTCTTGATACTGTTTTGCCTCGTGGAAACTATATACAATCTATTTGTAGTAATGGCAATACACCATTATGTATTTAGATCTGGAGCGGTAGTAAGGGACAGAAGCCAAGTTTAATAACCGGGAGCATTATTTTCTCTTAATTTCATTGAGGCGATTCTCAAAGCCTGGGAGACCTTCCAGAGCTATATGATAAACTTCTGGATTAACGTGATAGACTGCTGCCCCCGTCATTTTCCTTATCTATATAGAGTCCTGCATACAGATGTGATAGATTACTTATGTATAGAGAGGATTATATTTTCCATCTCGGTTGCCTCTAGTATCTTCAGGCCATGTATCTAGTTCCAATCTTGGTACAGACAATCGAGTCCCCAGGCAAACCAAACTAGGATTATTTTATTTTAAAACACGCTTTAAAAACTCTCAGTTGTTCCTATGGTATCTTTTACGTTCCTCTGCTCCTGTTTTCCTTTAACTTAGCTTTGTGCTTGCTGGAACCTTCAAAGTGTAAAACAGAAGGAGGGTTTGTAAGCTGTAGAATAACTTCCTTAGGCTGTGTGGTTCTCTAAAAATGACATCAGTAGGAATTCAATCTATGTGCCTTGAAACAATTGTATGATTTTACTCTAATGTATGCTTGCTTGTTTGTTTTCTTCTCTATTTCAGGCCAAACAAACAAAATAGCCAAGGAGGCAGCCAATAGATGGACTGGTGTGTATGCATTTATAGTGCTTAACAGTGCTTCAGACTAGAGCAATTTCAGTAAAAGACCTATTCGTTAAGAATTTTAAACTTTACTTGATGTAGGATAGCCCTAGCTTACAAAAACATGCAGAAATATATTTTGCTTATAAATTATCCTGATTCAAAAAAGAATGCATTTTCTCAGCCTAGGTACTGGATGTACTTCACCTCACAGAACATATTTGTTCTTCTGTTGCTGTCTTGCACAGCATGTTAAAACCTGCAGCTCATTTTCTTGGTTGAGTTAAAATCTCTTAAGACAAGGAAAACACTGATACAAAGAGACCGGTAAATGGTAGTGTCCAGGTATTCAGAAAGTTTAATTATTTTTTTGTGAGTTTTCATCTGTTTCTAAAGAGTAGATTGCTTTGAGGAATGTTACTGCTGCGACCGTATGATGGATGCTAATATAAAGTAGGTGTTTCTGAAAGTAATTAATCAGCTTTGACATGCAGGAGAAATGCTGCACAGTTTTGAGAAAGGTTACTGTGATAACATTTGTATGGAAGTTTAACTCTATTTTCTGTTGTGGCTTAGCTTTACTATATGGCTGTATATTTCCATTTTGCAGAGCAAGCAGTATGTATGTCCTTACCTTTTTAAAGATTTAGCACACTGTTTGTAGTTTTTTTGTTTAGAGTTCATCTGCTACTGGTGGACTGCTCACTGTTATTGGTTACGTCAAGTGCTGCAGGTTATCGATGTCACAGTCTTTTGACTGTGATTATTTTATATCTTCGTTTGCACTGGGTGGTTCACTGCATATTGGGAAATAAAGTTACGTATTTGAAAATAATTCCTGGGACTACTGTTGTCAGGGCCTTCTTGATGACAGGCTGTTCTCAAAAGCCTTGAGAGAGTTAAAGGAACTGTGCTGCAGCCTGTAGAAAGTACATTGCTGTTTAAGTAGACAATTAGGTTATATGCTGTAGCGTATTTTTCTTTTGAAGAGGCAGTTCTAAAACCAAATTTCTGGCAGTTCACGTTAAAATATTTTGAGGGTGTGCAGACACAAAGAATGCTTCCTGTCTTCAGGCATGCTGCAGTTAATGGGTGTTAGCAATGAGGTAGTGAGTTTCAATCCATACTGCAGTGAAGAACGATGTTACACTGAAGAGACCGTGTATGCTAGGGTAATAGTAATGAGGTGCTAAAAGAGAAATGCTGGCTAAAATAAAACTACTTGATTTTTTTTTTAACTTTCAAACAAAATGTACATTATCTGAATAAACATACGCAGCACTAAAAAGAACCTTATAGATAAGTTGAATCTGATTTTCAGTTGCAGAGAGTCAGACGGTAGGTATCTAGTTGAAAAAGGACGTATAAAATACTTATTGTGCATATTTGCACTTTCCTCATCACCCTATAGCAGGCTAACACTGTAATTGTAGCTTTCACTCATCTAAGACGAGCAGGAAAAGATAAAGGTAACCTCCACAGAAGACATATGTTACTTAGCACTGGATACAAGTACGTCACTAGCAGAAGCCTCTCGTGTTCTGTTCTAAATCTACTTAATACTTATGTTCCCCATTATGTACCTTTTTCACATACACAGAGAGTGCAAATGGAAGGATTTTGTTGTAGCCAAGTCTATAATTAATGTTTTACAAATCAAATGTTTTTCATTCTGTTTACAGATAACATCTTTTCAATAAAGTCCTGGGCCAAACGTAAATTTGGATTTGAAGAGAGCAGAATTGACAAAAGTTTTGGAATCCCAGAAGATTTGGATTATATTGATTAGTGTTCAGCAGTTGAAGGCTGACACAGTTGTACATAGTTTCGTTAAATATTCTCAGTTGGCATTTAAATGTGTCTGAATCCTCTCCAAATGACTGACCACCCTTGAATTTGCAGGTTTTGTTAATATTAATAAAATTGTAAAAATAGTTGTTGCATTGCCTTTTTTTCCCTTGTACTTCTAAAGGGACTTCTAGTAATTCGCTTGGTTACTTCTCTGAGACAGAGTAAGGGAGAACAGGGGTTGTAGGGAATAATTATCAAAGTCCGGAGATTGGTTTTTACTCTTGTTTTTGTTTAAGTGGGAGTAACAATAAGAACTGGAAGCTCCAGGGATTTATGTTTAAATCTGTTGAAGACATCGGAGTGGAAATAACAGGACGATATGGAATAGAATTAATTTATCCCTCATCTCAATAATGAAATACAGGAGATGCTTAGTCCATTAGTGGATGGAGACAGGAAGGATGTGAGTGGAAAGGCTGAGTCTGGTTTCAAGTTGTTTTTACCGTGTTGCTAGAACTGCTTGTAAGTTTAGTGACAGCATGTTGTTTGTTGTCAGAAAATATTAGTCCATCAGAGCTAAGTCTTTTCCATCGGATGGACTGGATTTGGCACTGAGAAAGCTTCCCTGATCAGGATTGTTGCTGCATGGGAGAGGAAGCTGTTGTGGTTTAACCCAGCTGGCAACTAAGCACCATGCAGCTGCTCACTCACTCCTCCCTGCCCTGCTCCTGGGGAGGAAAATTGAAAAAAAGTAAAACTTCTGAGCTGAGGTAAAGACAATTTAATAGAACAGTGAGAGAAGAGAAAATAATAATAATGATGTTAAAAGAATATACAAAACAAGTGATGCACAATGCAGTTGCTCACTACCCACTGACCGATGCCCAGCCAATCCCTGAGCCACCCCCCAGGCAAACTCCCCCCAGTTTATATGCTGAGCATGGTGTCATGTGGTGTGGAATGTCCCTTTGTCCAGTTTAGGTCAGCTGCCCTGGCTGTGCTCCCTCACAGCTTCTGGTGCACCTCCTCACTGGCAGTGCATGGGGAGCTGAAACCTTGACTTGGTGTAGGCACTGCCCAGCAACAACCAAATCATCAGTGGTTATCACACTATTCTCATGATAAACCCCAAACACAGCACAGTTTCGGCTACCAGGAGGAAAGTTAACTCTACCCAGCCGAAACCACATTGCATCGAGATTTAGGATGCCAGTGTGGGACCTGAGAGACCAAATTCAATTTGCTGTTCAAACTGAATTGAAGATGCTCAGCATCTTTGAGTTTATACCCTTTTTTTCAATTTCAGACTAAAAAAGCAGCCAACCAAAATAATAACAGATTTCAGAATGCCTTGTGTGTGTGTGTGCGTGAAATTTCACGAGCCCTTTGGTTTCCATCAGCTTCTGGTTTCTAGCTCTGATCAGTGCGTGGCTACAAAAAGGGGTAGAGAGTACAGGCTGGTGTCCTACCTTCCACATCCGTGGGCTGCCAGGCCGCATGTCTGCCGCACAGCTCCAGAGGGTCCCACCTTTGCCTTTGGGAGGCAGGCAGGCTGGCTGGAAGGTAGGTGGGTGTATCGCTGGAAAGCGCCTGTCTTGTCTACCTTCTGTCTGACCCCCGGTGACAGCGTTGCTGCAAAGGTGACGTTCAGCTGGAGATATGCTCAGAAGTCTGTCTCCTGTGACCTTTCCAATGAAAATGTTTCCTAGCAGTTCAGCGTGTGTTAAAATCCAAGGATTTTAGGCGTGCCCCTGGCTGTTGTCATCCTATGTCCATGAAGAAAGGAACATTATTGGGAAGATACCGAGTGGAAGGTTTTCCTCTCACAGATGTAGCGTAGCAAGCGATCCGTTGCCAGAGGAAAATGTATGTGATGCCTGGCATGCAGAAAAATGTCACAGTGCTTACAATCACAATGGAGACCTTTCCTTTGACCCATTTGGAAAGGTTTTTACTCCTAATATATCCAGTATTTAACACGTAATACGTTAAGAGCTGAGTTAACAGCTTACCAGGTGCTACCTCAGGTGGCTGTTCTTACCCTTGGATTTTGTGCTTTGAAACACTCAAGAAAGAGCTTTTCTTGTTCTTTGTAGAATATCTCTCATGAGCGATTTTTTTTCTTTTTGCGAAATACCTGTGTTTTTTCCATGAATCTGTTCTGTACCACCTGACAGGTGTCGGAAGCCCCTCGGCCCATCTGCATTTGAGAGCACATATCTGCCGCGCACAAGAGATGATGATGACTCAAAAGGCTTCTTCGTATGAAGGAGAGTTGAGCATGTGAACCTGTTGATGGTTCTTAGCTCTTAGGACCACTTTTACGTGGCTGAGCTTCTCATCAGGGAATCTTGGGTAAGTTACGGCCTGTAGCAGTGAGCGCACCAAGACTGCCTCTGGTACCCGTGGGGATGAGGGTTTCTCAATGATTTCTACTGCTTTGGCGCTTTTCCAAATTCAAGAAGGAAATGGAGATGACCAGCTATGTAGGTTTAGCTGCAATATTGTGGCTTCCTGTCTGTAGGGTGAAAGCACTGTGGGCTGCAACAGAACCATTAAACATAATAAACAGCAGCTAAATATCGTACGTGAGGTAGACTTGCTTAGAGAAGCTATGGTCGGCCAGCGCAAGCAATACCTTGAAACTGTCAAACACAGCCCTCGTGCTTTGGACACAAAATTTTCATTTGAGCACGAGGAATTGCCAGCAGTATAATTTTCTGCTGAGTTTTGGTTTTGTTTTACAGGTACAGAATAGAACACAGATACATGATTGTACTCTCTGTCCTACACCTACTTCGGGTGTTGGTTAGCGAGCCTGGTGGGAGAATGCATCTCCTCCTGCAAGGACACAGTTTTGGAACAGCTGGAACAGAAATTTCTTAGTTAAAGAGAGGCAGGGAAGAAGTGCATTATTATCAGGAACTGATGCTTACTTCTCTTGTGGAGTTGATGGATTTTACGCTTTCTCGTGATTCTGCGTTTTTTTAGCGTAGGGGACTTTCAACAGGAAACACAAATCCAGATCTTTTCTGAGACAAAAAGAGACAATTTGTACGTCTTGAATATTCCGGGACGCTTTCAGACTGCTGCATCTGCTCACTTTTAGAAGCTTTTTTTATTAAAAAGATATGCAGCAGACTGCTAAATCCCACAGTATGAAACCATGTGTGGTTATGTGGATTGAGGTGTGTGTTCGCTTTAATTTGTAAGAGCAGCTGAAACTTTTGTCTTCAGCTGAGTTAAAAGTAACCAACAGGTAAAATGATTTTCCTTCTCCGGAGAAGTTTTTGGCTACTGGCCTGTAACAAAAATGGAAACAGTCAATCTGATCTTGTGTCCCAGTTTGTTTCTGTGGAGTTTTCCTGGGATATTTCTAAAGAATCTAACGTGAAAATGGTGGGGGTTAAATGCTCACTTCTGCTGGCACTCTTGTGGTTATGTCACAGCTATATTATGTATATGTCTTCCTCTTTTTTTTTTCCTTCTGCCCTGTAGGTTTTTTGCCCATGTAAGGTAAATATTTTCAACAGTTAGAGCTAAGTCAGGAGGTCAGGCCCTTATTATAATTCAGGTTTATAATTAAAGCACCTGCTAATGCAAAGTGTGAACATCAAAGACAGTTGGTTTTAGCAGTGCCCGCAGCTCTTACAGGATCACTACCAGGCCTGGCTTTTCCAAATGAGCTCCTGAGGAGTTTATCACTACAGTACCAGGCTGAGGTGTTGAGTAAACCTACTCTTTGGGACTGGTGTGGACTAGCCACTGTGAAGCAAACCTCGACGCAGGAGGAAGTATTTGTTTGTATTTGATCTACTGAAAAACCTTACTGGTGTAGAGGAAGTTTGCTGACTGTATCTGCCCTAAACCAACCTCATCTTCCTCAGCCTTTAACTAGCCAAGCACAGACTCCTGGGGCTCCTTTTGTGGTACTTGCAGAGCATTACAATGTTAACAGTCACAAGGGTTTAGGTTTGGATGCAATTCAGCTGCTAAACCCTTCATGAATCCATCCTCTGAAATGTCATTGCTTTTTTTGGGGTGTAGTAACCTACATGTTTTAAAAGGGAAAATCCAGGCCTGATAGAAATGGCACAGTGATGCTGTGCCAAGTGGCGAAGCTGGAACTGAAACTTCCTGGGAGAACGATGGGAAAAGAAACTCAACCTGTGATGGTGACTAAGAAGTTTGATGCAAGAGCTCCTTGCAGCGTCCTCCTGACGCCCAGGCTTACTTCCACTAGTCAGATGATCTGGATGGTGCTTATCTTCCACCTCCTTTCTTCTAGAGGTGAGGTTTATACAGTGACATTTTCTGTCCTTTCTCTCCTTTTCCCTCTCAGTGTTCTTAAATTTCATAGAGGATTTCAGCCAGATTTAGGCTGAGGGGCTGTGGTGTGAGCTCCCGATTTATCCGTTCTGCTTGGCCGCCTGCCTGAGAAACACAAGCTTTCCCTCTCCCACCTGCCAGTTCAAGGACTGGAGAAGGGGTACAGCATGCTGGGGGTGGGAGGAGGAAGGAAAAACATCGAAGATGGCTGTAAAAGACCTGTAAGCATTTGGTGCCTGCTGGGGGTGGAGTTTATGTGAGGGTCTGGCAGCACTGCTGGGGATGGGGTGGGATGGTGTGTGCGTCGTTCCAGTGGGAAGGAGCAGGGATGTAGGAAACGGGTCTCTTGGAAGCCTGACTTTGTTACTCCTGCTGCTCGTGGAGCTGTGATGGTTAGTCCGGAGATTCGTGGCATTGTTAATCTACACAAGGTTCTACTGAGACAGCAGTTGGATACCTTGCCTGCTCTAGAGAATCAGCACACCCCAGAAGTGCAGGTTTAAATCGAAAGCAGGTAGATTTAGATTAGGTATCAGGAAGAAGTTCTTCATGGAGAGGGTGGGGAGACACTGAAACAGGTTGACCAGAGAAGCTGTGGATGCCCCATCCCTGGAAGTGTTCAAGGCCAGGCTGGATGAGGCTTTGAGCAACCTGGTCTAGTGGAAGGGGTCCCTGCCCATGACACGGGAGGTGGAACTGGATGATCCTTAAGGTCCCTTCCAACCCAAACCATTCCATGATTCTATGATTCTGTGTCTGGTGGCTTTAACAGCTGAAGTCCTTGGCTAAGTCTCAGTGGCTGGATTCTTCTGT